TGATTAGATGAAATGCACAGGAATAAGATTGACTACATCTATGGAAAGAGATGGTGGAAACTTCAGTTATCAGTTATCAGAACAGGACCAGGGATCAGCTGTGGAAGAGACCATTAATTACTCATATTAAAGTTCAAATTAAAGTTGAAGAAAATTAAAACAACTCTGCAGAGTCAAAATATGATTATATGTTTTCCCCACCTGAATTTAAAACCACCTCAAGAACAGATCTGAGGCATTGATCACAAAAGACAAAAACCAGAAGTGTTTGGGAATTATTTTGAGTACTTCATACTTGAAGTCGTCCTTAATATTATCCAGCTTCCATATGTATAGAAAGTGATTGAAAATCATTTGACATGAGCCAATTCCAACTTAACTCTCTGGGGGACATCTTTGCTCTTTAACACTTTAAAGAAGTTGTTTGCAGCAGGTCTGCTTGATTTCTTGACTATTGTTTCCATATGTATTGATTATAGATTCAAGTAAAATGAGATCATTGGCAATGTCAGTATATTCTCATTTATCTTTATGTTGCTTATTGGTGCAACTGTGAGAATTTTTGTTCTCTTTATGTTGAAAGCAATGCATAGTGAAGGCTGTAGTCTTTGAACTTCATCGGTAAGTACTTCTTCAAATTTTCTTTGCTTTCAGCAAGCAAGTTGTGTTATCTTTATTTTGCAGGTTGTTCATAAATCTTCCTCCAATCCTGATTTCATGTTACTGTCTGTTGTGTTGTTGTTATGTGCTGTCGAGTTGCTTGCCACTCATAGTGACCCTATCTACACCAACCTTAAATCCTGCTCTATGCTGTGCCAACCGCACTGCCTCTGACACACGCATCCCGATTACCCCAGTCACTCGATCAATCCACCTCATAGAGCACCGTCCCTCCAGCCTCTCAAGCATGATGTTCCTTTCCAAGGACCTCTCCCTCCTTACAACATATCCAAAGTATGTCAGACAAAGCCCCAGAATCCTTGCCTCTAAGGAGCAGCCTGGCTTAACCCTCTCCAGGATGAGTCTGTTTGTTTTCTTGGCAGTTCATGGTACATTCAATACTCTTCCCCAGCACCACAGCTCAAAGGCATCAACTCTTCTTCTATCCTCCCTAGTCATTGTCCAACTCTCTGATGCATAACAAGTGATTGCAAAGACCATAGCTTGCGTCAGACACACCTTAGTCTCCAGAGTGACACCATTGCTCTTCAGTACTTTGGAGAGGTCCCTAACAGTATACTTTCTCATTGCAATATGGTTTTTGATCTCATGGATACTGGTGCCAAGAGTGTTGACCATGGAGCCTAGCAGACTAAAGTTCTTAACAATCTCAAACATCTCAAATTATTTTCCCAATACATAGATTGAACAGAGATGAAAAAAAGAGTAACACTAAAATATACATTTCTGTATTTTAATCCATATAATATTTTTTAATTTCTCTCAAAGGAATTCTCCTTGGCATTTGTACAATTTCCACATGTGCACAATTACATTTTCTGGAATTCTCATTTTTCTCAGTGTTTATCCATTTTTCGTTAAGACTCATACAATTAAATGCTTTTGAACTGTCAATAAAACCCAGATCAATATCTTTCTGGAATTCTTTGCTTTCTGTTAGCTAAGATTCATCTGACATCATCAATGATATTCCTCATTCCACATTGTCTTGTGAATCAGCCTTGAACTTTTGGCAGCTCCCTTTTAATTCTTGGTGGCAGTTAGATTTTTTAATTAAATTCAGCAAAATTTTACTTGCATTTTATATCAACGTTGGCACACACCACCATCATGGAGGCCAGCTGCCTGGTTCTCTGGAATATTTTCACTACACTTTCTCTCTCTGAAGCTTCATTTACTTAGCATTTCCTCTTATTGTTCGTTCTCTCACGCATTAATTAGCAACTTCTTGGCATCTGGAAATTCAAGTGTTATGCAATGAGTGACTCTGGTTTTGCTGTTTCTGTTAGGTGCAGTTATCTTCGATCACCATATAATAGTAAAAATGCCTGCCTGATCCTACCCATCCTCGCAGTCTCTGCAGTGCTCAAATCCACTGCTGTAGTGAGAATTTCCATCCACCCCATCGAGGGTCTTCCTCTCTTGCTGATTCTCCACTTTTCCAAGCCTGATATTCCTTTCAAGTCAAGACCCTTCTGATAAAATCCCCAAAGTATGTGAAAATTTCTCCATCCTTTCCTGTCAGGAGCACTCTGACTGCGCTTCTTCCAAGAAAGATTTGATTGATTGATTGATTGATTGATTGATTGATTTTGACAGCCCAGATATATTCATGCAATACTCTTCACTGACACCACACTTCAAAGGTATTTGTTCTTCTCTGGCATTCTTTATACATTGCCTAATTTTCACACGCATATGGTTACTCCCCTTCCTGTCTGCCCTTCTTATTCATTTGAATAAATATTGTGGTTTACTTTGTGATTCCATCCAAATACAGATAACTTCTTCAGAATTCTCCTAATATCCCTGCCAGAAACAAATGCATAGTTTTTCATTCTCACTTTGAATCAGCAAAGAATGATTATATTTTATTTGTATGTATTTAATAATGTTTTTACAGAGTGTGATCCATTGACCACTAATATTAGCATCACTGAGGGTTTTGCTAAAGAATTAAAAAGTCTATATTCCTAAACTCTACCCTAAACTACAGAATAAAATTTTTAAGAATTTTGACGATTCCATCTTTATGGTGACTTTCATTCATACTAAAATCAACGAAATCAGAATTGACTTTGTAGTTAACTGGTGGAGTAGGATTTGATCTTTATAAAATTATTTAATACTGTGGATGAAAATTTTAGGGACAATTCAGCTTATCCCCCTATGTATACCTATTATCTAGCACAATGGCTGACATTTAGCACACACTAAGTAATTATCCGGGAGTTCTCATGTCTGGTGAGGAATTGTGCTGCCAATCCAAAGTTCATCAGCTGCTCCAGGGGGAAAGATGGGCAATCTCCTCCTGTGTAATTAACTGCTTCTGAAAACCTCCTTGTGGGTCAGTTATGGGTCGGTTGGGACTTAAAGGTACACAACTCAACAACAAATAATTACTGGTTAAGTAGATGAACAGAAAAAAAAATCTCATGAAGTAACAGACTAAATATAGGCTAATGTAGTATTCATTTAGGTAATTATGTAATTTACTGCTCATTTAGGAGCAAGTCATTAAAACACGTTAGAAATTGGGATCCACTGTACAGCAGTGTTCAACCTTGACCAAGAATATTTACTGTTCTGCGTTTCAAAAATTCTCAGGAGACTATAGTATTAGTACTACTTGTTTGGTGAGTAAATAGATTTAGCTGTATCAAGTGCTTAGACCAATTCTTTTCAGAAACACCCTGAAACATTTGTTCACTGCTGTGATTTAGGAATAACCAGGCCAAGGTCAGGTAGCTGCTAGCTGCAATCAGTTGAAAGCTGACTCATATTTTCTCACACCATGTATACTTTTTTCGTTTATATGATCTGGCAGGCAGACATCAGAAGGTCCTCCCTTTCCAAAACATCTCTTCCACTCTGTCTTTTAGTTATTCCTAAGTGGGTGGAAGTGTCCACTCGTGCAGTAATTTTTGTAAAAAAAAAAAAAGTTTAAAAACAATTGACATCTGTTAAAATAACATTCCTGGGCAATCTCCTCTGGTGTAATTGTTGTTGTTGATTGCTTTCAATTTGAGCACAACTCATAGCGACCCCATGAACAAAATGCCTGAAGCCTTTCTATAACTATCGGCATTTATCAAAGTTCATAGAGTTTCTGGAGGCATATGATTTCAGAATTGAATGCCACTCATGCTTTTGAAAACACGCTGGAGGGTCGATTCCAACTGGATGGTACACAAAAACAACAACAATAACCTTAACCAGGAAGGAGAGGAAATGGCAATCTGGTTCTTTTAGTTCTGTAGTCAATTTCCTCCTATTAACCTGCAGAGAAGATTAGTGAATTCAAGTGCCTGCAAGGAGGTAGATTCTGAAAGCCTAGTCCAGATGTTGTGTTTTGTTTTGTTTTGTTTTGTTTTGTTTTGTTTTAACCCTTCTGGAGTTAAATTGATGAAGAGGAGAAAGAGGAATTTTAAATATGTAAAAAGAGAGCACAAGCAATACTTTGCATCCTTTAGAAATATATTTAACAGTTGATTCTGCCCGGTCATTTTTTAAAATTAAAGGTAATAAGCATTGACTGATACAAGCATTAACTGTAACCAAAATGAAGATGGTGTGAAGAAGTGTGAAAAGTCCAGACACATTCTAAAGGACCAGTCAGTCAACCAACAAGTCTTCTCAAAGACTCACTTTTTCAATTTGCTCCTTTGATCCACATTAGATATTCTCGGCATAAAGACCCTTTTAATGAAGAATATATGTTCTCTGAGGGTGTAATTTGCATGGGGGCGATTGTCCATCTTTCTCCCACGGAGCAGCTGGTTATTTATATAACATAAGAAAATTTTCCTTGTTCTTTCAACTGAAAAAGTGTAAGCGGGGAAAAAAGAAGTGATTTTTCTTGCGCATTTCAGTCTCTGCTTCAACCCTAGTTCCTTGGAGACGCCTTCCCACGCACCCCCAGTGCATGGGCGTCTTTGCTCCTCACCAAGGGAGAAGAACAGAGGGTGGGAGGAAAGTTAGGGCAGAACTGAGAAGTAAGGAGTAGATCAGAAATACCTCAAAGGGAACAGGGCGGGGCTTGAGTGGGAGGGGAAAGGAAAAGAGGAGCAGTTGGGACTGAAGTTAGACTTTGTTTTGAAATGGCTCGGAAGTGAAGAGGAGGGCCAGGCAGAGAGAAGAGGGTTCCAAGAGGAGGCAGTGGTCAGCACCAAAGGCTGCTCGGGTCGCCCCTTTCCGCCAGCGAGGATCCCAGGTGGAGACCCCACCCTAGGCTTGCTGGTCCTGCGCTTTCCAGACTTCAGCCGGAACTGCTGCGAGAACTGGTCACCTTCAAATCAGCGAATGAGCCTCCCGGCAGCATGGAGACTACCGGGGCCCGTGGAGCCCCGTGCTCTGCGGGCTCGCGCCACCGCCCCGGGCGCGCTGAGTTCTTCCTGCGCGAGCGAGGGCGCGGGGCTCCCCAGGCCGCGGGCGCCCCCAATCCGGTCAAGGTGAGGGCCAGCGGAAGCAGGGGCATTGCCCTACAGGACCAGTCAGCAGACGGGGCCCCAGCACCACCGGCCGGAGAGAACCCGGAGGACTGCGAGTCCTGGGTTCGGGAGAAAGTGCTCTTCCTTCTACATCCGGAGAGGTGGCTGGGGACGCCTGCGGACCTTGTGCGAGAAGAGGTGGCTGGTGGGGACGACCTGCCCCCGGAGGACGGAGACGACGCGGGGCTCAACTGCTCCAGAAAACGGCGGGTTTCTAGCAACTACTTAGACCCTCGTTCCGGAGCTCGGCGGGGGGACCCCACAACCCCACCGGGGTCTGTGCTCGTGCGGGTCGTGGACTATCAGGTGACAGAGGAAGTGCAGCAGACCGAGTGGACCAAGGGCTGCATGACCACGAGGACCGAGGAGCGCTCCATGACCGCCGTCACTTTTCGCACCAACAGGATGTAAGACAATTTTGGGGAGCCAAGAACCCCTGGGGGGGGGAAACCCCGGATTTTCTTCACAAAGAAGAACAAGAGGAAGGCACTCTGTTCTTTCTCCATGGTGAGAAGCCTTTCCAGGTCCCCAAGGATCTGACTTCTCAAGGAGGTTAAGCAGAACAGAATGAGCAGCCTTAGTGGGACTGTGATAATCATTCCGGGAAACCAGACTTTTGGAAAAAACTGTTTGCGGGACTTCAGATTACAGTACACCTGCAGAAAGAACCTTTTAAAATGCTGGTGTTGCTGATAAGGGTGAAAGAGAGAAGGTTCAGCTTGTCGGAATATAAGGAATTTACAGCACTCCTTTGGAAACAGGGATTCTGAAACTCCCTGGACATACCCTGGGCATGTGGCCAGGAGGGGCCAGTCCTTGGAAAAGGGAATCATGCCTCGAAGGGTAGAGGAAGACCCTGAATGAGACTGATGGACTCAGTGACTGGAGTAATGGGGGGTGGGGGGTGGGGTAGATGTGTCAGAGAGAATGAAATTGGCTCAGGATAGAGCTGTTGTTCATAGGGTCCTTATTGAGTTGCAGATACTCGATGGCACATAACAACAATTACACCCTTTTGGTGATTTAAATACTGTGATGGCCTTGGTGATATAAGTTATTCGGAAGATGGGAGGAAAAGATATTTTCAAACTGGCAGAATGTGGGTTTGTTTTCTTTTCTTTCTTTTTTTTTTTTTTAAAGAGAGTCCTTTGTTTTCCCTCATTTTTCAATACCTTATGTGGCCCACTCCCCCTTTCTCTTTAGACCATAAAAGCAAAGATTGACAGTTCTGGGCTGTTTCGGGTGGGAAGAAGATGGATGAGAAGAGGGAGATGTGTTTTAACTGGAAAAGAGAAATACAGGGTGCTGAGGAGGGAAAGAAATATGGGAAGGAGAAGGGAGCATCATAAAACAAAGCAACAAGTAAACAAAATCTCCTGTCACTCTTCAGAATGTGCACATTTCACTTGTTCCTTCTCTCAGCTCAATGCTGTGAAGAAGAGAGGAGGAAAATATAAGACTAGGAAAGCCTTTTAAGAGGTACTTCAATCTGAGAACAACTAGTTCATTTCATGTTGCTTTCAACGTACCTTATTAAGTCTGAGCTTATTTATCATCTTAATGATAAAATACGTGTAAAAATAACACAGCATGTGAAGGTAGAAAAAAATACCGTCCAGTTATTTATCATGAAGGTTTGCCATAAATTTTTTTAAAATAAGTCTGGATTTATCATTCTGTCAGTGAAAAAAAATATTTCCCAGTTATTTATCATGAGTATTTGTAGCCGAGATTGAATTGATAAATGGATTTCTTTTGGTGCTATTAAAAAAGAAGGCCCCAAACAACAAAAATCTCTCCTGATGGTGTTGAAACAATTCCTTTTTCTTACATTATTTATTTTTCTTTACTGTTAAACACCATCCTTATTCGCTTATTGCTAGCGTGGACTGTATTGCTGGCTGTACGCATTTTGGAGCTGTAGAGATGAGCTGCTTGACCTGAGCCACTAAGGATCCCTAGTGGTCTAGTGTGTTCGGGTTTAGTTCCTAATCAAAGGTCAGCAGTTCAAATCCACCAGTCGCCCCTCAGAAAAAGGTGAGGCAGCCTCCTCCCATAATGAGAAACCTGACTGAGGGTTATCAGGAGTCAGAGTCCACAGAAGGGCTTTGGGGAGTAATATTAAACTGTGGGAATTAAACTATCTCTTCAAGAGTAAATAAGTCCAGCAGTGTCTTCAATCTGGCCCTCCTCTTCTGCCCCTGTTTTCAGTGTAGACCTAAAATACTCAAAAGATAACCAGATTAAAATCTGCCCTTATTTTACAGAGGAGCCAAGTTTGGAGATCACATGGCTTGTGTAGGTCAAACAACTAGTAATTACAGGCTTATGGCCATCCCTCTTCCCCTCCCAAAGGGCAAGAGATAGATAACATAGTAGGCAAAAGATGACTCAGTACATCCTGGATTTTTCTGACACATGTTTATGAGAAGGACTGAGATCACACTGATGTGTTTGCAGTGGTCTCAAGCGCTGGAGACCCTCATGTAAGAAAAAAGCTCTTCTCTGTTCGTTCCAAACTGCTTAGCTGGCAGCAAAAGTGACAATCTCTTTTCCCAATGGAGGCTAATCTGGTAAAACAGATTTCCAACCTGAACTTTAAACATTTGCTTATAAGTTATAGAACCCTGATGTTTCAGTGAGATTGAATAT